TTTATGGCGCTTTCGCTCCGTGGGATCCGAGACGGGTGTGGTGGTATACCTAGGGACGGCCCCGGCCGCGCCAGTCACCCGCGTTCTTTCTCACCGCCGATCTTCTTAATTATGTTTTGACAAGGTGAGGGGAGGAGAAAGCACAGCAGCACTTACTCACTCAGCTCGTTCTCTTCTATCCGGTGGAGGTTGTACAGCCTTATAGATTGATCATCACGGCCCTTTGGTTATGCGCGAGATATTCAGTACGAACTGTGCCTTTATCTTATGGGTACTTCAGTTCCCAAAAGCTGTAGTAATTGTAACATTTTGCTAAATCAAGTTAATCCTGCGAAGTCGTGTTTTTTTGAAACGATAGGCAAGGCAATCTGCAGGCGCTCGCGGCACCCAACTTTCTTAGATCCCTATACTTAATGTGAAAATGCTGAGATACACACCTATCGTCTGTATTGCGCCAATTTGGCGTAAGCCACTAGTAATCAGTTACGACGGAATACCTATTGTTTGCTCGCGGCGGCGTACGACAGAGTGACCCGCCTGGTGTTAGAAACCAAGAGGGCTCGTATGCAACTACTGTGTAACGTTATGGCGAGCCGCGGCTAAACCACGGCCTGATTATGATGTTGCTTGGTATAAAACTATACATAGGAGTGTGGATAGTTTTTATTGGACGCTGGACTCCTCAGTTCAGTGCAGCTGATATTCACCAAGTTCAGACAAGGCGCACGAAAAAGAGTCCTCCGACACTCAAAAGACTAACTAGACCACGTCTGGCCGAAGAGCGGTTGCCTGGGTTGCTTCCATGAGGGAATTTCCCGTTATCCTTAGATTCAGTGGTGTACGTCCTTAGCGCACCCGTATAGGCCTCCAGAACTGTACTAGACACCGAGTGACGTCTCTTCCGACGACAAGCAGCGTTTTCAATGATATAATACTGTCGTGATGTGATCTCTTGCACAACCGATGCCCGACCACGCCTGAAAGTGTTACTATTGTGCGGCCTGTAATTTCTTATTCCGTAGGGATCATCATTGAAGGCCGCCCACTATCCTCTACCCACGGACGTGCCAGATGAGTTGCAGCTAGGCTGACAGTCAGGCCCCGTCTTCGCAGCCAACAGCACCATTTGCCAATAAGTAAACGATTCGTTCATTGTAAATGGACAGGTTTGTATTTCTGGTCACCGACACTCATCTTACCCACAGCACCTATGATCTCAGTCGCCAAGGATCCTTGTCTGCCCGCTTTCAGTTGTTCATGCGTACTTAAAAGAGCTCCGAGCATTTTAAAATCCTCCCAGTCACTGACATGCACTTTAGGAGTAACGTTATGGAAACGCAGGATGCACATATCCCCCGGACAAGTGTCATTCGTGAAGCCTCTACTAACTGCTGTTCATCCAAAAGCTCTTCTTCGGTCGCACGATTGATGCCGTGACCATCGACACCTCCGACTTTAGTCTGCTTTTAATTAGTGTTACATGGCAGGAGAGGAAAGGCTAACTCGGACGCGACTATCTGGAACTGCATGGGGTATTGAGCACCTTGAAATAGGCAATTTAAATAAACCTGAAGCCGCACGCGACTGGTGGATTGAGAAACATAAGGGAATTCGCAATATTTTTCAGGTTTTGCTTACCGCTGGGACAAACGAGTGACAAACCTATAGTTAGGTATTCATAAATAAACGATGATTTTCGGGGAGGTCCAACGACCTTGCTCGTCCAGACTTAATGACAGTTTCTGGTAAACGGTACTGGTCCGCGCTGTCGTGTTTCCGCCTTCGGAACAACCATGAAGTGTTTGTCGTTGCCTGATCCCTTCTGGTTTGACGTGCAGTTTTATGAGTTTTGTTCTGCTTTTACTTGTTCACTACACGCTAATCCGCCTCCTCGTTCCCTGTGACGATACGTGGTAGTGACTGTCCGATATTTGCTCCGCGTTAACCCCTCCCCCTTTCAACGTTTCTGCCGACTGGCCGAACGGCTGCTCCCCTACTATATGAGTAGAAATTCTGAAAATGCTATGTTACCAGGGGTTGTATACGTATGGGTCGATGCCAACATTGCTATGACTAGTACCAGATGTGGGAAAACCTGTTTTGATACGAATGGAAAGGTCAGGATCGAAAGCCGCATTCTCTTAATAAGCTGAATTAGCTGCAACTTGAGAAGAAATCCACATCTAAAATAACTTTGTCAGAGATCATAAAGGCAAGGAAAAATCAAGAAGTAGGAAAGCCTGCATGGCAGACAGGGTTCCTGGAAAACGGCCTCACGCGCAACCCTCAGTTTGGGGAATACCGACAAACGATATAGAAACTTCCTGAAAGTATATTTTACAAACCAAATCAACCGACTTGTAAGGTGTGGATGTACAACAATTAGGTAAACAAGCGGACTGTACAAACTCTGAAAGACAGGTTGGGTCTAGACGACTATAACTCCGTTTTGGATGTATCGTCCAGTAAGTGCCGATTTTTTTCAACAAGATCCACGAATTCCCTCTTTTCGGTACAGCCATCGCAAGTCTTCCCCATAATCGCCAGAGTTTGCCTAAGCTGCTTCACAGTGAATTTCTTGAAGTCCGCGTTCCTGTCAGGTCTAAAGTCTACAGAATAAACATATAAATGTGGACATACCCGGTGTGTATTCGCATATCTGAGGGTCACTTTGGGCTAGTTTTTCGCATATTTTAAAAGGCGGAAGGCCGCTGGATATGTAGCGAGCAACTTGCTGGACAATTCTCGTGGGAGAGTTTGGCAAGGCCCCAATGTTAGAGCACTAGCAATAAGAAGCTAAAATGAGACTTACCACTTTCCTTTCTTTACCTGTCAGCTTTTCACAAGTGGCGTCAATAATGTCCACAGCCTTTGAAGCTTCGCCGGCCTCGACAGCTTTCACAAGTTTGTTAAACACAGTTTGACAAACTAAAAGGTAGTTCATTCAAAAATACTATACCTTCACACTTTTTGCATTCTATGGTCAGAATTTGTGCGAAAATTGCCAGAAACACAAGCTTCATAGGCACTTTTGGGGACAACATCCTGACACCTTAAGCGGAGACAATTCAAGTGGGCCGCGTACAGCTGGCAGTCTCTTTTGTAGGCAAGATATCACAGTCTGGTAAGGAAAAACAAGGACAAGTAATATATGGACCTCCTGAAAAGCACAACACATAAATAAGAAAAAATAGTTATCCAAAGCAAGTTATAGAATTTAGCTGACTCACGGAGGTCCTTTGAGACAGTAATTGTCCGATTTTCTATGGTCTCGTATCACCACTGAACTACTCACTTCGCTCGATTCGAAGAAAGTCCCCAGACTGTTCAGTTAAATATATAGCTTGGTGCATTTCCAAGGTAATATTACAACCGGTAGAAAACAGGATGCGCTTAAAAGAAACCTGCAATAGGCGTCATTAAATGTAATGGTCACCGTCTACCATGCGGCAGGCCATTAACACATGCAATAGATTTCATAAGAAAATAGTCATTTGACGTATTTCAAAATATTCAAATAAAATCCACAGTTATTTTGTAGCGTTCACCTTATTATATGTACGAAAAGGCTGGTAAGTCAAATTTGTCTTCCTAGCTGTCTCCGTTGTACCGAAAATATTCCAAACCTCTATAACATTAAACAAGCCTTAGTTTGCTTGATATTTGTATCGTATGGTGAATTTTAGAACGACTGGTCTCGTTCATTTCCCGAACTTCATCATCTACATGTGCAAGTTTTGTATCCGTTTTGGCCGTTCGACTCTGTCTTCTAATAATCCGTGTTGGGACGAAAAGTTGCCCTAGCATATGTCATTACGGAGACTTCATACAATTCTGTTTTGTTGGTTTTTCCTATATTCTTCCTTAGCTTTCAGTATACCCCGGTTTATTTTCCCATTCTTCAAATTTCCATACGCTATTCTGATCTACTCTGTGCAACACCGTTTCAAAGTTTTTCACTTTTATACTCCTGCTGGAACGTCATGTCCTGTAATCTTCGGCACTGAATTTTATTTGAAATGCTCATCAATCCCCATCCAGGCACAAGTCACAGACATAGGCAGACATTTTTCACTTCCTGCAGATAGCTGCCATACCAATGATAAGCAAATCGAAAAGTTCATCCGCCCATAAATAAAGAATTTTTTTAAGTTCTAGTCTTTTGTTGGAACTCTGATGCATATTGTGGTCTAGCGCACGCATCCGACTGTAGTAAGACAAATCATTTTTATAGTATTTTTGATCCCAATTCTCTCCTGTTATGCTAGATCTCCTATGATATAAACCGAGCAATGTCAGTTTAGACAACTTAAGTTTTAGATGTGGGTGGGTTTTAGACTGGCAGTTCGCAGTTATGTACTGATTCTTGGCCCTATCCTACCAGTGTTGATTTCTTTTCTATAATTGATGTCTTTGAAACATTAGGTGCTCAAAACACGAAGGAAGTTCTCTGAATATTGCTTTGTCGTCCGTTTGCGTTAATTCCGAAAATTTCCCTTTCGCTTGATTTTCGGCGGAAACCGGCTTTTAGAACCTCACAACTCACAACCAACTCTGTAAAACACTGTCATACACAATCTTCCAGTACTGAGTTACAGTTAACAGAAACGCTTCCTTGTCATTACATTTGTATTGTGATCCGATCACACTGTAAATGTCTGCAGCTTTATTTTGAGTGCGAATCTGCGAAAGCATTGTACATAAATAGGGTCATTAAGGGCTCTGCCTCTAGCCCTGTAAATACATGCATGCATACCTTACATGTAGTCCAGCTTTCCTTTAGAAATTTTTAAACTGACCTCTGGTTAATGTTCAAATTCTCTGTGCTCAAAATATGTCAGAATTGACAGAAGTTCCTGATAACACCTGGCACATTGCTTGACACGGACTATGGAGCCTATCGTTTAGAGCAGCCGATTGAGAACATGGAAATCGTTGAAGTCTTCATGGACACGCTGAGACTCGATGGACTCCACCATCATCAAAAAACTGCAAAGAAATTCTATCGGTAAAATAGCTCTCCAGGCTCAAAAAATGGTGTGCTTAGGATTACGTCTGCTAGTTCTACTCCTGTCTCTTCGTCGGCGGGTGACTACAGGGTCATGGCAAAGTCCGAGTGGTCGATTGTCTTTTAATTTCAGCCTACCAGTCCAATAATACTGCAAGTTTCTGAAATAAAAATAGTGTGGGTACGTTTCCCACTTAATCTGTCTTGTAGAGAAAGTTATAAAAGTAAGTTACTCCTCATTATTTGCTTTCCAAAGACTGAGTCGGTCTAAGTCCACTGTTGGACTCTAACTGGCGGTTCTCCTAGTTAAACCTAGGTAGATGGGACGAAACGACGATGACAACGGCTGGGATTCCAGCAAGTGGACCAATCTATTCCCATCCTCCGAAAGCACATAAGGTAAAGAACTACGTTTATACTATTGTTTCTACTGGGTGACCGATATAGGCACATTAAACGCGCTATTTTCACTGCAAAAAACTCTAAAGATTATTAATTTGTTGTGCTGAAATTAAAAGATGAACAATCCTTCCCCCAACTGGGTCATGGTCTGGTCCGTTACAGTCGGACCCAACCTAAAGAACTGGGCACATACTAATAAAGTGGTCCTGCATGAAGCCCTTGCATCATAACATGGAATCGGTTGTCGGTCTGTCTAATCTTGCATCCAGCATTATTTGTACGTGCCCTCGGAAGCGTTATCTATCTTCTTTGTTGTCAGTCATGCATATATTATCTCTAAGTCTCTATCACTTTTCCGAAAATATCCTTTTATTAACGTTTGTAAGACTTACAGAAAAACCTTGAATATCCCGAACGAATCGTTTCTTCTCTCTGTTCGAATTTTTAGTTTTCCGATGCAAAATTGATAAAGAATCGAATGCATTTATTTTTTTTCGGTCAGAACTTACTCAATATTAGTGATGACGCTCATCTATAACTAGACCTTTAAAATAGACTGAAGTTTCCATCACCTTCTCTCGTTTTGCCGTTATTCAGCTGCGTATATAAGCGGGTTAGGTTTCTGACCGAAAGAAGACGACTTGCCAAATAAACTACACTTGCTGAAAACCGTTTGTTAATTATTGCGTAAACTTTCTCTCCTACAGCAAATCTCACAGTAAAATTGGGTATTCTCCAATGCATATACGGACATATTTCTTATCGAAAAGTAATGGTAGACATGGCCGTTAATACGAACTTTATAAAAGACACCGAATGAGTTAAGGCGTGGCAACGTGAGTAGGACATTTGTTTTGAATACTGTCACTTTAACAAGTGTTTTGTCTGTCGAAGTAACTTTCTGTTGCTCCGTAACAACACAAGTCCTCGAAGATTGGAATTCCCAGAGTAGCACAAATCGGAGAAACGAACATAATTAAGATTGCACGTATGGGCGGCGTTGTGGATACAGGAGGAGGCATATAATTGTCCAGTCTATAGAGAGGGTGGAAAATCGCAGAAGGATCCGTAGCGGACGCAAAATGCTGACGGTTTGGTGGTTGACGAGAGTTGATATGAGCGATCTTAAAGCAGTGGACTGGAACAGCTCTGTGGTGCCGAACTAACGCCTTGCATACACCTACCGCTAATGCGGATGACTGTCATTTCATTTTACCGATATCATCTACAACTGAATGTCCTTGAGTTTCAGTCCTGCATTTTCAATGAAAGATATTCTGTTAAGTGTCTGTTAAGTGACAACATTTTAATACCGTGTTTATTTAAAGTTGGGCATTGCATGTGCCGTTTACAATAGGGTTTTCAAAGGCATTACCGATTACTCTTAAAATATACTGACCTATATACTGACTGACTCGCCACAGGGAGCTGCGAAGCGCTTAACAGTTTCGCGAATGGGGGTGAAATGGTATTTCAAAGGGCAGTTTAGTTGTTTGTTAACCTTAGCGACGAAGAGGACTGCAAAGGAGAAGATCAGCAAGTCAGGATTACTGTCTGAGTTACCTGGTGTGGCGTGTGAATGGATAGCACTAAATTAGCCTATACTTAGCGCACCGTCGGATATAAGCATCCATATCAGCTGCTTTCTTATGCACTTCAATAAACCCCAGGTATGCGTAGGGTAGAACCGTAAACGACTTCAGCGGAGGCAGGCTTCAAATCATGTTTGTATACAGTATTGGTACCTAGCATAAACAGAGGCAGGCATCCCGCACAATTAGGGCAGTTATCGCAAGGCTAAAGCATCGTTCTGAGTTTGTGGTAAAACGTCCAGCAATAGAGTCTGGTAGGTGAGGGTATGCGCAGACATTTCAGGAGGTAATTGAGCTAGGAAGGATTTCAAATTCAAATCATTGACCTCAGTCGCTAGCGATGATTGACGGGACTCCTTAATGGAATATCTAGTACTCTGGAAGAGAAGGCAGGAGCAGGATTCGAGATCGGGCGTTTTCTAAGATGTCTTGATGAAGCACTGTAACGTTTGCGAAATTGAAGACGTCAACAATAGTTGGGAGTGGGTCATCAACAGGAATGAGAAAGGACAGTTGCATTCGCAGGCCTCATCGACAGAAATACTCGCGGTTATTTTCGAGTAAGAGAACGGTGAAAATGACTATCATTTGTGTTATGTGGAGAGCGGAGAGTAGGTAAAAATCGACAAAACCCATAAAATGGCAGTTCTCAGAAAGCAGTTGCAGCAGGGAGCTGTTGACTGCGTCCATAAAATAACAGCAGAAAGAATAAACACTATGCCCTGGGGTTGGGGAGGGTCGAGCGAAGCCGAATGAAAATCTAAGGGCAATAGTTAATGGGAAATTAGATCAGCCATTCTAAAACAAAGTGTAGGTTTTTGAGGTGTTAGATCTTGTTAGAAGTTGTGTCCAGGGGGTCAGAGAAACAAATAAAGTGTAGTGGCAAATTACGAAAGACCTCATTTTGAAGGACAACAAGGTCTCCAAAGAAACTTGAATAGACCGAATATTGAAGTAATTGTTATTTTATTGGTGTCTGACGAGGAAACGGGGATGTGACGAAAGGCTTTGACAAGGTCAAGAGTATAAATAAAATCAGTATCGGCCAGGCTAAAGGCGAAGTCGCTCAGGTAAGAAAACGGTTATCTTATATGGAATAAAAACTTGCAACCGTCAATAGACGTCAACTGGACGTCGGTCAGCGAGTAACTACTCGCAAAACACACGTGGAGTAGCAGCCCATGGGCTTGTGGCTAGCCACAAGAAAACCTAGTTTTAATTTGTAGCTAGATTTAGTCATAACGATGACTAACTTACCGCGGCTAAAGAACGAGGACGAGTGAACATGGATGACCGATTGGTTCAAATATAGTGCGTTACTGTTAGCTTAAGCGGCTCGTCAAACTGTGAGGGTCTGGCAATAAGTGAGAATTTTCAATACCAACGGTAATGGGAAGTGGACAGAGTTTGATAAGAATTCAGTCTTTACTGTTGCCTTACTAACTAGGTCGCTATCCAAGGGACCTCGCCTTTTTTAAGTTGCCGCAAAGTACGATGAGCATTGATGGATTATGCTGCGAATTGTGGGGCCGACTCAGCCAGCATAAATGCTATTAGAAATGAAAACAGCAAACCATCTCGCCACAGCGACGGCATAAGGGCTTCAGCTTGGAGTAGGCTGCCGGGATTTAGTGTAAAAGGCAACCCACAGAGCTCGATGATTGGTCAGCCTCTTTGAGGAATCCGGGCTGGTCTTTCTTGCTCTCAAGCTAGGGGAATATTTGCCGTCCGGATATTAGGACATACGATGGCAAAAAAGGCTGCTGGTCATCAAAAGTTCCAATGTCTCGGGGCCTGACTTATTGCCTCCAAGATGCCCTGCACATTGACGATCTGAAAAGTCTGAATGCAACATAAGTCCACAGAAATACCGCCCCTCGGCAGATGCAACACACACAACTTGCACAACACTTGGCGGAGTCGACACCAGCTCTGGCCTCGCCAGAGCCACTACTGTCTGAGACAATAACACGTAGTTCTGTTACCCCCTATCTTCTACTGCTAATCGGGGCCTGATATGATGGCTCTACCTTGGGAGCCTGTTGTAACACTTCATCTCTCGCGAGTGCTTTCACGTGCGCACCGGCAGCACTCTGCTTCTTGACCAATCACGGCTCCCCAAACCGTCCAATCATCTTCACGCTGGACTCGGGCGTGCTTTTGCACAGGGCGCTGTGGCACATTCTTCCCTGAAAATCAAGACGCCGCTCTCCCGGCGCATTTCGTCCGCCTGTCAACCGTCTCCAACACATTGGAAAATTATTCTGTGTAGAATGCATCGTTCTCACAACTGGCGTCCAACTCCTCTTTCTATTCGGGACCAAGCCTAAACGTCGTAATGGCTAGGGTTTCACTATGGTTTAAGCTGTTGCGACAAGTACTCTCACTGCCCAGACGCTAAAGATGTCTGCATGCAGACCTTGATCCTATCCAGCTTCGTCGAGTCCAACATTGATTATTTTTACTGATTAAGTTATAGGCTTGTTGTACGCTTAACCCGCTGGCTGATCCGAAGCGTCTTTATCACTCTCGATGTAGTAGTTAAAGAGAGGTATCTACATTTCTTCCTCTAGCATTTACAGTCCAGTATCGTCCGTTTTTTCCGTTAATCAAATAGCCACCTGGAATAAGTCACACGGAAACGTGAAAATTTCGGAAAATTATCCTTCTAGGGGTTTCTTAATTCCTGCTCATGGAGCATGCAACGATCCGCTCCCCCCGATGCGTAGTCTTATTTTATCATTCAGGCCTTAAGTAAACCATACTTCTGCGTTAGGAGCTTTTCTGTAATTTTCTGGACTTATTCTGTTTAACTGCTGCCTTACTTTCCGGAGGCTGAAGTTGAACATCATTATTATTACTATTACTATTATTCAACATTAGCACCCCTTTCACTCCCCATCGATTTTCAGTATATTGTCTTTTAGCGATTTCGTCAACTCCCAGACAACTTGTGGTCAGTATCCAGCAAACTAACCATTATTATATGTGCTATCTGCCTCATGCATATGTCTTCAACACTCAGAATAAGTTTGCGACAGCCTCCCCTCGGAAGTGGTCCTATAAGACCTTATGTGAATTTGTAGGGTAAAGAACAAGCAAAATTACAAGGTACTATATATGGGAAAACCTAACTCTAAGGGGTACGATGTTGTGCTTAACCTACGAATAGGAAATGCGAAAAAATTGGAAAAAAGACAGCGAGGGTGGATTTTTGCGCAGACCCACGAAAAGAAAAGCCAAAATCCAGTACCAGGTAGGTGCATCAAGTGGAGTTCGTTTTGGGCAATTCCTTAAAGATCGAAGATGGTCTTCATTGACAGTTCTTGCCGCTCGGAGAAATCCAAGCCTGGCGAGTTGTGACTGAGAAGTAATTCTCAGCTGTTCATCGCGCTCGACTAAACAAATTCGAAAAATATAAGTAATGTATGGAACATTGACATCAAACGGTAGCGAAATTAAAACCCGCGTCATCGCAAGTCGAAACCGGTTGTTGTGTGTATTTTTTTGCATATTCAAAAAAGGCGCAAGAAAGCTCAGGTGGCAAGATAAGAAGAAAATTCATGCTGTGCATTAACTTACAAATTTCAGTAACCTTGCTGATACTCACACAACGGCAGACGAGAACTCAAGTTTGGATACCCAGAGGTGCCGAACCTTATATCGACACCAGCTGATTTAAATGCTTTTGATCAAGTTAGGGCGTCCGACGAGTCATATCTAAACAATCAACAAGAAGAAATGGCGACAGAGGATAAAAAGGAGGATGTCAGCATATCCAGACGGGTGCTACAGAAAATGGCAAAATGACCGCAAGAAGTTGATGGTCAAAGAAACCAGACAACAACCGGAACTGCTTTAAAGGAACTAGCTTTGCGCCTAAGTGCGGATGTCATGCTGACGTTAGAATGGTTGAGATAATTTTATTTAGTTTTAATAGTGCAGCAAAATCAAATGTGTTCACGCTGGCGGTATGTGACATACACTGGTGAACAAAGGCTTTATACTTTGCATTCTAGACAAATTTTCAAGTGAACTCGAATGTCTTCCTGGAGGTTTGTCGCATTGGATGGGTAAAGTAAGGACTTTTCGTCAGATGTGATTATGCAACCCCACAAAATAGCCCCAGTAAACAAACCCCCCAGCCACCTGTAATGCGGGGCCTGGCTACCAACTGCGATCTAGCCGACTTTTCAGCTCAGAAGGCAGAAAAACAGCATACTTTTGCGCAACCACTCTCGGAGGAAAGTGGGAAAGAATACTGCACGTGTCTGCGCCCGCGGCTTCTATGGACTTCAGACGGTAGTCAAACCCCGACAACCGGATTATTAGCTGGTGTCCAACAACCAGACGCGTCCCTCGAAGGCTGGGTCAGCAAATTTGCAAAATGCACGTAAAATAGGTGATGCACTGTTTGTGTGGTCATGCCCATGCGATATAAGTCGCCAGTGTGCTGACGAACACGAGGTCAGGGAAGCTTGCGAGTGCCCAGCTATATCTGCAAATTGGCGCCGACCGTGGGATCAACTTTTGACGTTTGATCGAGCAGTTTCTAGTCCAGTCGACGAGTACAAGCCAGGCCTGGCGGCCGAACTGTCGTAAGCGAAGACGTCCATTGTCCGTCCCACAGACTACGCTTAGCACCGATAACTTGTGCGTGAACTAATTTATAGCGAAGTGGACTTGCACAGCATCTGCCGCACTCTGTCTTCCATCACGAACTTTACGCTGATGACAAGACAGTGTAAAGAACACCGGAGTGAACTCGGGCGCAGCTCAATTAGCTATCTAGTTGAGCCACATACGGTCTGGTCTCCGCACCGCGGACTGCGTTTTCACAAAACGCCACGCGGCTCGGACCTCATCTAAGTGAGAATGCCAGAGAGGTCACAGTAAGCCTGACTCATAGTTCTCTAGGCAGTCACGGCACATGCGCACAGTGCTGATCAGGCTGCCCAAATTACCCCCTCAGTTGTCGGTCTTCCAAGCCACGGATTTTAACGCGTCAGATTTGTCATAGTGAGGAATGCACTGATTTACTGGATTCGCCAGTGTCCGCCCCACTCTCTCCTTTTCTTTCTTCTCCCATGCACCAGTCGACCGTCCGAGCCTGTCAGTCATCTTGCCCCAAGAATACACGCAATAATCAACGCGACCTGAGGCCTCGACCTCGCCGTGCCATCACACCCTCCCATGGCCGACAAAAGTTATGGGTTCGCGCGAGCTCAGCGCAGCTCGATAAACGCGTACCGTGAGCCAATCTAAATCCTGTTTCCGCCCTTCTCGCCGGCAGCTCAGCCCGTTATGAGGACAATGACGAACGTAACCGAGATGGTTCCACCATCATTTCCATTTTTTAACACTGTCTGGTCAGTTGACTCTCACTTTCTGTTGAAGGCCTCCACGCGGGCGCTAGGTAGGCCCGAGCGCACAGTCGATGATGCCTGAATACACTCTCGCGAGGACACTACAAAATGTCAACTTCTTTCGGACTTGGAGGTTTCGTTCGTCTCCTTGTCGCCTCCGCGAAAATCACATCCGACGCTCGACGACTTTGTGGCTACCGAGATCGCCTATCACTGCACATCCTGATGTGTTCGTTATGGCAACCCACTGCCGCTACGGCAAGTAATTTCCGAAAAAACTTAAACTGCAGACAGAAGCATGAGTGACGTGGACGTAGGTGATATAAATCCACAGGAAAAAACGTGCGCCGACAAGCTCACACGAGTCGGAGACCCAAGCACAGGCATTGGATCGAGGCCCGTCTGTCGACCGACCAATTTACTATCCGAAGGGGAGAATCCAATCCAATTATCCAAATCACTAATGATTTCTCATAGAGACATCGTTGGAGAATAGTAAAGCCACTATCACTGGGGCATTACCTTGAAAAAGTGTGCTGGGTTATACATGTTCCAAAGGAGAGCACAAAAGACGTAAGCCTGAACACACATGTGATGGTTACCCAGAACTTACGACGCGACATAGAAGTTTAGATTCGGCTTTCTCGAAGAGAACGAACAGTACCCATCAAGTACAGCAAGACTTGGCTTTTCGAAAATCATACAAAAGGCCCGGAAACTGTAAAATATTCTGACCGAGCAAATCCCAAAGAAACTGGGAACATCGCCAGGTAAGGATGGGGTACGTAAACCCTTTGGTCGTTTTTTTATATACCTTCTTATCTTATCTAGGTGGGTGTGGTATGGCCCCAAGGCACTATGAGAAAGGTGGATTCCGTAGCGCGATCGGTAAGCGCCCTTTCTACCAATGCATATACCCAATCGAAAGCGACAGGAAAAGGGGTCCGTGGCTCAGTGGTTATTACGTTGAACTTCTAACCAACAGGTTGCGGGATCAACTCCCACGGTTTGCACACCCCCGGGGCTAGGTATGGCCGACTGACGATGTCTAATAAGCCAGAAGTGGGCCATTCCAGTCTCCCCTGTCTTTGTCGGTAGCGATATTCTGCGGCCCTTAACAGTCTGCTCGACAAAAGGTCGACAAAGAAGTCATGCAATACGCAGATTTTGATCTTCACTAGCGTTGTCGACTTCAAAGTTGCCCGGATCGGGCTGAAGGCTAAGGATACGGTTGGAGTTAGGGTTAGTATTATGGTTTGGGTTATTCCTAGGGCAGAGATTGTAAGAATGGGGTTATAGTCTGGATTTGCGAGTGAGGCTAGGGTTGGGGTTTAGAATAAGGGCTAGGAGTTTGGGCTAGAGCTCTAGGGTTTGGCTTAGGGATTTCAGGCCTAGGGTGAAAGTTGCGGTTACGTTCGAGTTTTCCCTAAATTATTACGGGTTAAGGGTTAGAGTCAACTATTACAGCCGTGGTCATGGTTGGTGTTAACTACGGTTTCCACAGAGGATATCATTCCGTTGGGCATCGTTGATCACAGCAGTTAGCGAAACCAGAGGAGGCAGAGAACGAGGTCGCTAGAACAACCCTCAGACCAAGCACTTACAAACCGATGTTGACACAACGATATCATATATTTTTTACTGGAAACACCAAGACTGGATTTAACGGAAGTCGCTTGCATGCAGATAGGTCAGTACTGGGAGGTGGTCAGGTGGTCTGCAAAAAAACGAATGAATGCCTTCTAGGGCGACCGGAAAAAGGCGTATCAACTCGACGTTTGAGCGAAGGTCAAGCCCAGAGCCCGAAACCCAGCGGAAAGGAAGGCGGCTTCGGCAATGGATGGAAGAAGAAAACTGAAAAATAGCAGGGATGGCTCAAAGTTTTGACGGGTTTTGATGGCGAGTGCACAGTAGCAAGTTTGTCAGGAGCCAGTGGAACGAGCAGGCAGAAAGTTAATCTTAGGCCAGATGGGGTATCCGATGCGACCATGGAAGACGCCCAGCTCAATGACAAGCAAAATATATAGTCTCAGTATCTGCGTCCACAGTTTCCAGACCTCCTTCAAGAGTGTGCGCAGTCTCTGCTTCAGGACGGGAATTCGCTTGTCATTCACAAAGCAAACAGGGTAGGTGAGGACCAATCAACATTCAGCATAGATTTCCGGCTAGTAAACCTTGTGTAAGCTCACTAGGAGGAATACCCATCGAAGTGTTTTGAAGGGACTGACGTATTTGGACGTCTAAACAGGACATGAGAACAGGAAGGTCCCGGTCAAGTTATAAAGTTGGACCTGCGCATAATTCTAGACGGGGCAAAATATTCCCGTCTCTTCATCCCAACAATAACCCCAATATAAAACTAAGGTGCTGCCCTAATTTTGACTCTAAATTTTAGATCTGCAGTCAACATTAGCCCCTACTTTGACCCTAAGCATGGTCCTGTCTTACGTTACCGTCAACTTTAAATCTGACCTTAAACCTAGTCTTTAAATTAACCCTAACCCTTGCCTTAAACCCAACCATGACTTCACCGGGAGTTGCCACAAAGTCACCCGTGTTGCAGGCGCTTCCTGTTCTTATGTCCGGTTTAAACGCCCACACGGGTCAGTCCTACTGTTTTCTTTTAACCAGGCTACGGAACGAAAGAATTGTCCCGTGACGGTTGACAACGGTACAAAATAAATCAAAGCGGAAGTACGAAAAATGACTCCGGAAAAAAAAGTGGAAAACTCCTTAAAACCCTACGGAACGTTCCTTGACTGAAAGAGTGTGTACTGATAACTTAACTAATTAACGTATGTAACATTTGGAGGCCCTAATGTTGGCTCTGCCGAAATCAACTGTACGGGCTATCAACATCTCTTTGCCAAACCCAGTGAGCTCAAAGTAACCGCCGCTGAACAAAGACCTGATGTAATTGCATCGAAGGAAATCTGGTTGGCTGATAAAATTAGTATTGGAGGCTATTAAAACGTTCCATCGTGACAGGCTCCAATTTGAGGTCGGTGGTGTTAAAAATCTCACAATCAACGAGCTTATCTGGTGTCAGTAGGGAATACGCGATGACTAAATTATTTCATGCTCTATCCGCATCAAACCACCGTTGATATGTGGTTTCATTTCAACTCTGGTCCAAAAATGCCTCAGGCCCGCCTTTCTTGTCCATTCTGGCATTACACTGGGCTAGCCGGTTATACGCGTACGCATGAAGACAATCGTTGAAACCATACCCAACCATGTAGTTTGTCATCCCCATTAATGAATGACGGTCCATCGCGTGTGCGCCCGTCTGTCCGTGACAGGCCTTGGACGGTGACTTCACAGAACATCACCAAATGCATCTTATCTAGCCTCTAGTCGGCCTAACTCAGACTTTTCGTTTGTATGGGAAAACAAAGTTGATCCAGCCCAGATCCAGCCTTTGCCCTCTTCGCTAATAAATGAAAAGCTCTTTTGAATCATCAGGATACTCTAACCGTTGTGGCCAACTCACGGGATACCTTAACCGGTTCCAGATTAGGTTGCATGATGTTTATGGCGCTCTCCCTGATGTGAGATCATAAACCCTCCCCCCACTTGGGACGGGTTCATGAGAAATTGGGCATCAGCACAGGCGTGGTACGCTGAGACATACCTTCAACCTCGTCAGTGCTAATTTCCGGTTCGTTGGACGCAGTCGTGCCGGTGTATAGCATTACAAATGTGGGATGTGTGCGACTGATTATGGGCAAGCCGGCACAAAATTTTACATTACGAATGCATTACGAGCTGTGTGGGCGCGAATGTTGTTTGATTCCTTATAGTAGAGGCGTGAGAGGGCGTAAAGCATGCGGAAGTGGAAATCGAGTGTGTGGTCAGCCATGGCCCCCAAGTTCGCTCTCAGTTGATTTGGCTTGGTCACTGCGCAAACGCAGCGTCTACAAATGGGTGTAGGGGTCGGTTACGCTGTCCTGGTCCCAGGTGTAAGTGCAATGTGGGCATTTCAAGGAAAGCAAGCCCAAGGAGGATGCCGAAATCAATTGTGGGAAAGCAGTCAAGGTTAAAATAGAAAAGGGCAACCTGGCTTTTCGGATTGATTAGAATTAGTTTTAGGGTTTGGGTTAGTGTCAGGCTGAGAATTGATTTTGGGGTTAGGGTTCGTGGTAATTTTAACGGCTCCGGTTAGAGTTATGGTTTGGATTGCCGTGTAGGTTTACGTTTAGTGTTAAGGTTGGGGTTAATGTTAGAGTTGGGTTACAGTTAAGGTTAGAGTTAGGATTTAGGTCATGGTTAGGGTTGGGTTTAGGGTTAAGATTTGGATCTGAGTTAAATTTAGGGTAAGGGACAGGGTTTTGGGTAGATTTAAGGTTAGGCTTAGTTCTGAGTTTAGGGTTAACGTTAGGTTTACAATTACGTTAGCGATTAGATTTGCTTTTGTCTTTACGATTATGAGGTACTGCTACTCAGCGTGTACTGTCAGCCAGAACTTTTGCGGGGATTCTAGGCTTCCCCCAATCTCTCTGCAGATTTGTCATACATTAGGTTGCCTTTTCCGTTTCACCCTCGCCTACTTCGCCCCCTAGCATTTCAAGCATCCCCTTTCGGTTCACTTTACTTTCAATGCCCACATTGTGTCTACACTTGGAACCAGAACAGC